GGGGTGATACTGCGAACATGTGAATTGACTTGTGGAGGAATTGGTGATGAGGTGAATTGACTTGTAGTAGACTTGGCGATGAAGTTTTTTTTACTTGATACTGACATGTGATGAAGTGAATTGACTTGTGATCGAATTGGTGATGAAGATTTTTGACTTGATAGAAGGGATGATACTGCGAACTGACATGTGATGATGAAGTGAATTGACTTGTGAATGAATTGGTACTGAAGTGAATCGACTTGTGATGGTATTGGTGATAAAGTGAATTGACTTGATAGAAGGGTGATACTGCGAACTGACACGTTATGAAGTGAATTGACTTGTGAAGGGATTGGTGATGAAGTGAATTGGCTTGTGAAGGGATTGGTGATGAAGTGAATTGACTTGTGAAGGAATCGGTGCTGAAGTGAATTGACTTATAGTGGAATTGATGATGAAGTGAATTGACTTGTGAAGGAATTGGTACTGAAGTGAACTGACTTGTGATGGAATTGGTACTGAAGTGAATTGACTTGTGATGGAATTGGTACTGAAGTGAATTGACTTGTGAAGGAATTGGTGATGAAGTGAATTGACTTGTGAAGGAATCGGTGCTGAAGTGAATTGACTTGTGATGGAATTGATGATGAAGTGAATTGACTTGTGAAGGAATCGGTGATGAAGTGAATTGACTTGTGTAGGAATTGGTGATGAAGTGAATTGACTTGTTAAGGAATCGGTGATGAAGTGAATTGACTTGTGAAGGAATCGGTGATGAAGTGAATTGACTTGTGATGGACATGGTATAATGAAGTGAATTATGTTTCAGCGTATTCGCTTTAAAATGATCACCATGCTGGTTGATACTGTGGTGAATAATACACCTAATTACTTGTTTGACATTTGCCATCACACTGAATCTGGTTAAAGGAATACTACGTCTTAGAATGAACATAAAATATAAGAATTTTAAACTTGGTCAATAAGAGCATATATTCATTAGTAGATATACCTGGTGTCATAAATAACATAACAGGATCCTTATATAATCCTATAAAGTGTGTTAAGATCTCAGTATAAAAAAATTTTAAAATGAATATATATATATATTTATTGTATGTGGTATAACCGGTTTTATTTCAAATTATGTATTTTTTTATGATTTGTGTCGGCCTATTGTGTCACTTGAGCGTAAATATTTATAGGGTTTCTAATAAAGAAAACAGACAATGTAGACTTGTATTGGTCAATGGTGAAATAATTGTAGACACTACATATTGAGAGTTATGAGACGTTCTCCTTTTGGGATTTGGCAGTTGACGGCAAATCGAAAGTAGAAATTGTATTACTTGCATGATGTGAACTCTCACAAAATCACCAAACACATGGGTAGCAGAGTCAGCCATACTATTTGAACAGTGTAGAGCTCAATGAACAATGTGTAGGATAGGTATCAAATGTTAGTGGACATCATGACCAACACAATATCTCACTCTACCTATTGTGATAAAAGGTTCGCGTGTTGTTATCTCCAAAAGCAAACAAAAATCTACTCACCTTTAATGATTCTTTTTGAATTGCCTCCATCGTGAACCAGAGCTTCCAAACCCAGTTTAGAATTGGACACAGATTTAATACATGATACACATTCTAGCAGCATCAAAGCATCAGACAGATTGGTCACTCTCCTACTGCTCATGGTGTCCACATTATCCAACAGAGCATCTAAACCTTTAGCATCGAGAAATCCTTGGATCCATGCTTTTTCACCTTTGGTTATCTTTTTCTTTAAAGCAGTCAGTGATTTTACAGAAGGGATGCTCAATACACTGACACAGATTTCTGGTTCACATAAATCAAAGTCCGCATTGGAGAGAGACTTCTCTACCTTCCTCTTCAGCATCTTCCTCATCTTGTTTTTGGGTTCCTTCGGCTTTTTATTCGGATCACCAGATAGTGGATCGTCAGATGAGGATGCTGGGTTGGATTCTGAGCTCTGAGAACCCGAATCTTCCATCTTCTGTACATCACTCAATTCTGACAAGTATTCATTAGACATGCTGAAGATCTCATCATCAACTGGAGTCTTACAGATTTCATCACTTGACGCTTCGTGAAATTCTTCAGCAGCCGACATATTCGTTACACCACTATTTTCTACTGTATTATCTTTATCCTTGATGTTTTCACATTTTTCTTCTACTTTGGGTGTTTCCTTTTCAGCCATATTTTCCTTAATTTTAATAGGTTCGACTAGTTTTTCCTCAATTTCACTGTTGTTATTGACCTCTTCCATTTCCTTTTCTGGGTTTAGTTCGTCTCCTTTCCAGGTTATATCAGTAATTGATTTTCCAAAAGTGTCATGTGCATCACTATTGTTAGTTTGGTTTACATTGGCTATATCTACACCATTACACTCCTTTAAACCAAGAGGGTCAACTTCACACGACTGAAGCTTATAATTGTCAACCACGTGACCTAAAATATCGTCTGCTAAATTGTTCATTTCACTGTCGTCTGCTTCAGATTTCTCGCCTGTATATCCAACATCTTCAACGCTTTCGTCTTTTTCCAGAGTGTGATCGTTCTCCAAGGACGAGGATTTCTCACTGGAAGACAAATCTATTGACGAGGAAGGGGCGTCTTCATTTTCCATTTCTGCAACCTGCCCTTCTTCATATTCTTCTGCTTCCATGTCATCTCGGTGGCGTCGCCCCCACAGGAATGTTGATACTTTTCTGATGATTCCATGAACGCTCTTGGCAGCCTGAAAGAATTAGCGGATAATAATGAATTATTAATCTCGGAGAGTATATTGATTTTCCTCTCATATTATGCAATACCTCTGGGAAGATAGAAAAGATTCTTAACATGGAAGTAACTTTTCACCAAAAACATAAAACTCAGTGAATACATCGTAATTATTGAGATCTATAAAAATGTTAAATAAAAATGATATGCTTTACGCATTAGTAATTCGTTTTAAAAATAAAGTAAAGATAGCTTGCGAGCCAAGGTAACATACGCCCACTGGCAGCTGTCAGAAATGATAAAACAGTCTTTAGTGACTAAAGTACGAATTTTCTCATATTGAAGAAATTTTATTAGTTTGAATTCAATTACATATGTATATATATGACACTTATTTATGCCGAGTAATTCCACAAATTTTTTTAAAATCAATATCAATAACCCAAATACAACAAAACAATTAAATCACACAGCTCTAATCAAGGGCAAAAAACAACATTTGACGCGTGTTTACAAAGTCAAGGGCAATAACTCAAAAAACGTTCACCAAAAATATCTCAAGTGAGAACTTGTCCGAGATCTTATCAATTCCAATGATCACACCAAGTTTCATCAAAATCGGTTGAAAACTGTAGCTTCTATTGTGCTCACAAACAAGATAGCTTGCGAGCCAAGGTAACATACGCCCACTGGCAGCTGTCAGAAATGATAAAACAGTCTTTAGTGACTAAAGTACGAATTTTCTCATATTGAAGAAATTTTATTAGTTTGAATTCAATTACATATGTATATATATGACACTTATTTATGCCGAGTAATTCCACAAATTTTTTTAAAATCAATATCAATAACCCAAATACAACAAAACAATTAAATCACACAGCTCTAATCAAGGGCAAAAAACAACATTTGACGCGTGTTTACAAAGTCAAGGGCAATAACTCAAAAAACGTTCATCAAAAATATCTCAAGTGAGAACTTGTCCGAGATCTTATCAATTCCAATGATCACACCAAGTTTCATCAAAATCGGTTGAAAACTGTAGCTTCTATTGTGCTCACAAACAAATTTTGACGCGTTTTTCATAAGTCAAGGGCAATAACTCAAAAACTGTTCATCGAAAATGCGTCAAGTTAGAACTTGTCCGAGATCTTATCAATTCCAATGATCACACCAAGTTTCATCAGAATCGGTTGAAAACTGTAGCTTCTATTGTGCTCACGAACAAATTTTGACGCGTTTTTACAAAGTCAAGGGCAATAACTCAAAATCATTTCATCTAAAATGCGTCAAGTTAGAACTTGTCCGAGATCTTATCAATTCCAAAGATCACACCAAATTTCATCAGAATCGGTTAAAAACTGTAGCTTCAATCCTGCTCACGAACTATTTTTTACAAATCTTGACGCGTTTTTACAAAGTCAAGGGCAATAACTCAAAAACCGTTCATCGAAAATGCGTCAAGTTAGAGCTTGTCCGAGATCTTATCAATCTAAAGCATCAGATGAAAACTGTAGTCTCTACAAGAGATGTTGACGGACGGACCGACCGACCGACGGACGGACCATATTCATGTGGGCGTATAAAAAGTGAGCAAAATTTGTATATATTGTATCGATAGGAGGCGAATAAATATTATTACTGAAAAAACCACTCGAGCCAGTTTGTTTGTGGTACAAACACATTGATCTGATTTCAAATCCAAGTAAATAACTAGAGCCACACGTGGCACAGAGTGGGACTTTGCAAATGTAGCAAAATGCAAAAGACCCTGAAAAAATCAACCTTCCACGATAATTAGATCAAGCGCAAGAACAGTCTAAAGTTGAGAAATTTTCATTTTTTAATACCGGAAGGGGACGTCAGACCTCACAAATGAAAGTATCAGCAGATAGCCAAGGTCAATGACCTTTGATCTTGTAAAGGAGAAGGCCTAAAAAGGTCAAGATCAAGAGATATACGCCATTAAAATTTCAAATTGCTAACGACTATAAAACCAGAAGTTGACTAAGGACAGCAAATATAAAAGTATAAATAGATAGCCAATGCCAATGACGTTTGATCCTACAAAGGTCAAGGTCAACAAAGGTCAAGGTCAAAAATTGAAAATTTTGAATTTCCAAAACCTGTTCCTTTTTTTGAACTATGAAGCGGAAACAACCAAAATTCGAAGACAAAGTGGCTCAAAATATGAGGTAATTGTGTAAGAAGTTCCATTTTGAACAAATGTATACTTTGCGAGTTATGCCCCTGGCCAAAAATGTCAATAATGAGTAATTTAACCCGGAAGTGCCACGCCCAACTCAATTTTTTTTGAATAAGTTAATCAATATTCAAAATGTTACGTTATGTTCCAAATGTCAAGTTCCTACATAATAGAGGTCAAAAGAAATAGGTCAACAAAAGTCAACAAAGGTCAAAATCGAAAAATGAAAATATCCAAATGTTAAAACCCGTTCCTTTTTTGAAACTATAAAGCTGAAACAACTGAGCTGTTAATACATACTGGCCAAAAGGATGAGGTAATTGTGTGCAAAGTCTCTTTTTGAACAAACGCATCCTATGCGAGTTATGCCCACAGCCCCAAAATGTAAACAATTAGTAATTCAACCCGGATGTGCCACACCCACATAAGTTTTTTTGTCATAGGTGAATTCATATTCAAAGTGTCTAGTTATATTCCAAATATCAAGGTTCTACAGCAAATAGATCATAACATATACATACACTAAGCTCAAAAAGTCGCAAATATTGTAAAAAAAAAAAACTCAAATTTGAAAAAATCACTAATTTCAATTTTGCTTTAGAAAAACGATTGTTATATATCTATTTAAAGTACACGAGAAGCACATTAGGAAACCGAAAAAATTTACTCTCTAGGTTAATTAGGTCACGTGCTAGAGCAGTCCAAAGTTGCGAATTTGGATGTTTTTGGACAGCTATAAAAGCGAAAGTAGACGTCAGAGGTCAAATATGAAAGCATAAACTAATAGACAACGTCAATGACCTTTGACTCAATAAAGGTCAAGGTCAT